AGAATGTATTCTAAAAATAAATTAAGACTATTAATTACATTGCTAATTCGACGCATACATTTAAAATCATTCAAATAAATGTGAATATTCATGAACATATAACTGATATAATTCACATAGCCAAATTATGTACTTTATTATGCATATAATTTACTTAACTAACTAATAATAATTAAAAATTTTGAACATAAATAGGGAATAGCGAGAAAGTGCTTCTGAAATAATGAATAATGAGAAATTTATTTGAACGGTATAATAATTTTTTTATATTAAACTATTGTTAAATAAGTACAATAGATACAATAGAATACTGTGATAAAAAAAAAGCATTTTCAATGATACTAAAGCATAATTGATGTGTACTATTGTTGGTGAAAAAAATCTGTATAACTTCTTTTCCACATTTTATAAGTTTTCATTGTACGTATTATAAGTAATAAAATAATTATCAGTTATAATGTTATTAATTATAAAGAAATAATTGTTCAATTTCATTATAATTAGTTGGCAACAAATAGGAATTTAGTTTTTCAATACATTTCATTCAATACGCAGTGAAAAAGATTTTAAAAAATTGAAATATCAAACATCTAAGTTGTAGAAAATCTAAGCTGTTTACCATCTACGAAGTTAAAGGTTAATTATCTCTTTACTACTCATTAATTCTCAAAGTACACAACTTCAGTTGCGGATTTTAAATATTTATTATTTTATCTATGTTAAATTTAAATTTATTAATTAATAAAGTAATTATTGTGAAGACAATTATAAATATATATTATTAGTTTCTTAAAACTTGTAAATTTTTATTAATAATTGAAATATTTACTGAAATATGAATTATATTTAAGATGAAATATTTACATCTATATTAATTATTATTTTATAAATTTAAATATTACTATGTATGTAAGAAAATAAAAAATAAATTTTTCATTTTTTTTTCAACAGGATTTAATATTTTTGTTTTATGTATTATGTAAAAGTGTTTTACAGATAAATTAAATTATTTCAACAGTTTATTTTGAAAACTCTAAAATAATTACCTTTATAATATTAACAATTAATATCTATATTAATATATTGAAAAATAAAAATAGTTTATATTTTTCAAGTATGTCACTCTGACGGCCGGTTCCATTGAATATTATAAAAAACATGGCTTTTTTTTTAAATAATATATTTACTTGATTTGAGATTTCATTTTATTTTTAATCGATTTATGTATTTAATTTATTTTAGCTAAATAAATAAAAAATATGCGCATGAAATATTTGAAATAAATAAATTTATCATCCCATCGTTTAAAAGTAGTTTCGTTATAATTTTTAGCTTGAAATTGTAGCCATTCATGTTTTAGTGCAATTAGTATTTAAAAAATTCAAAATATTAATAGCTTGTAGATTTTTTTATTTTCATTTATTGTAATACAGTAATACGAAGTATCTATAGACATTTGAAGAATTCTTAAAACAATGGCATTCTCCTTACGATTATTAAACCAACGATTTTATTTTATAATCTCATAATTATGTTAATTTCACTACATAATTGTTTTTATAACATGTCTACATTATATTCTTCAATTAATAATAATAATATCGTGTTATAATAATACTCTGTGTTATATATATTTTTATTTCAAGGAAAACTTGTTAGATGTATTAATGAAAGTTTCTAATAATAATCACAAATGCAAAGTCTGGTTACATAAATATATTATTTACTATTTATAAAAATGTAATCATTATTAATTAAAATTAATAATCTTACATAAGGCAGAAGAATCGTGGGGATTGACTTTTACTCGAAATCTTATATATTTTCTACGAAATCCTAGTCTGTTTGAATCATATTATTTATGGGTTTCCTCAAAAATATTTCTCTCAAAATACTAGTCACAAAGTCCAAAGATACACGCGTATTTCGTACATATTACGGATTTCTATGAAAATATTTTTCCTAAG